CCTTATCAAGTACAAACATGAGTGATAAAATTTTTTTTGAAAACTCTCGTCATTCAAAAAAGAAAATAATAACCCACGTTCTTTTCTTTTAAAACGTGTATCACTTAAAACATGAATCGTCAAAATCATGTACTGTATGTTCGACTACCCCATAGTGATGCCACACTTTTGAGTCTTTAGCCGCATGCAAAACAATGTACAAAAACAAGAAGATTTTTTGGAGTTCATTTGTACATTAAAGATGAATTTTACATTGATTATTGTTTGAATATTTTGGCATGGGATTCGAATATCATAGTTATTTTTGTCATTTATTTAAAATTACATTTATTATCATATCACTTTTTCGTTTTCCTTTCCTCGATGAACTTTAATATGGTAAAAATATATATGACGAGAAATGTGATTTATTATCATCACTGTATGTTTTTCCCGAAGAGACACGCGGCAAGTAGTAGTGCGTAAATATTATTTGCTTTTCCTGTTTATTGTAATTTTGATATTTGAACTCGATTATCTTTGTTAAACTATGATTTTGATTTTTGTTATCCTTTGTCAAAAGGACATTAAGAACGATCTAATCGATGAATTTAAATTTGCGTTTGAATTTTAACAAAGTGTACTTTTAGTAATAAATTAGACATTCGATAATAAGGAATGAGCATTTATAGTCAATATTTTTGAAAATGTCCGTTCCTCATGATCAGTCTCTCAAACATGGTACGACACTGACAGGAAACAATATAAACATGCACATGATTATGTGTGTGGTAACACTAAAGATCAGCGTATAAACATAAACAAAGACGAAAAAGTTCAATTCTACAGTAACACATTAACATGATATCTTTATCTGATTTAGCATGTTGACATAATACAACTACGGCCATATCGTCATTTTCGATTAATTTCATCAAAATCGATTATGACCTAATTAGCGCATTGATTATTTTCAGTTAAATTCTTCGTATATTAATGCTGTTGACAGACATGAGCGCTATACACAACATTTACCCACTATCATATGCTGCACTTTAATACAAGAGAGTCTGGTACTTGACCCAAGGCCGGAATAGTTCACCGGTGAATTGAGTGCGATCATAAACAATAAAAGAACACGATGGAGTTTCGGCTGGCGTTTACAAAAACTAAACTTCAGGGGTGTGATTTTCGATATGGGTTTTTCATCTTGTCCATTGGTAGTTGCCTAACAACTTCTGACAAAACCCGGAATGTGAGAACACTGGGGGGCGTTTCATAAAGCCTTTTTTCAATGACAAATAACAAAAATCAGTGACAAATCTGCTGATAACCAATCAGAAGCAAGCATTTCAGTAGCTTATAACACAAATTGTCATTTGTCACTGATGACAAGTTTTGTGAAACGCCTCCCAAGTGGTTTTATGCTTGCAGTGTAAATACAGCTTATGTTGCGTGTGACATTCGTTCACATTCATTTCTTCGACTAGCTTTTATAAAAATAAATCATGAGAATTGATGATATGAAAGGAGCCTGACATATATATGAACAAATTCCTGCAAATAGGCGCACCATTCCTCACCTTCAAAACCATGCAACCAACACTGATGTTAATCAAAAGAAGAAACAAAACGACTTGTATGGTCATATTTAATAGCATACTTTTATGTGTACTATCAAACATGTGTGTCAAAGGTGAATGTGATTTAAGGCATATATTGGAAACACATTTTGCATTCGTCATGCCCCACGATAAATGTTGCTTTCAAAATGTGATTATCAATATTAATAAGGCAATACACGTACATTAATCCTTTAGTTGATATGATTTGATTTGTTTTGATTTGATTCGATTAGAACTGAATAAATTCATTGCTGTCTGCATCATCTTTTGCAACCTAATTGTATAGGTGAAACAATTTTTGAAATACAACTACATGTACAATATTATATACAATTTACTAATACATAGAATCACTAAATGAACGCAAATTACATGATAAAGGAGGGCCACATTATTATGCAGATATGGCTTGGCGTACCCGGGAACCCTCAACTATAATCTATAACATTTAAAATCCATCAAGCAGATATTCACTAAAATTCTACGTGTACAAGCCTACTAGAAATTCGAACCAAACTAAACCTCCCCGCAGTTACTAAAGAACTTTTTTTTCCAAAATGTAATCGTCCACCTTACACCACCTCCAATCAAAACTCGTCTTCGGATTATTTAGGAGGAAAAGAATCCAAGAAGATCCAAGAAGAATAAAACAGATAAACTGAAAAAATCTGACAAACTGGTGTTGAGGATTGAATTGTACTCCGACCAAGTATAAGATACTATAACTTACCGACCTTTATTACATATATCCGCGTTTAGAATATATGAATTCTATGTATTCGACTGGGAGGTTTCGTTGATTTTTGTCAGTTTTATCATATTTTGGTGCAACTGGCTGGCAATTGGCAAGAAAGTCACTATCGCAAAGTCATAACAAACGATGTTTATCGCAGGCTATATGTGTCTAGCACGTATGTGGTGTTGTAGAATATTACGATAGCGTATTGAAATCTATTACAAATAACACTCGGTCGAAAGTAAAAGTTTGACATTATTATCGGTGATAAGCAAAAGTGAAGTTAGTACATTGTAAAGCTGGAAAGTTGTATGACATTCTCATTTCTTCATATAGTAGCCATATAGTATAAAAGATGGTTTATACATGTATGTATATACTTATTTGTAAAGTTATTTATTAAGTTGTATGTTTACATGATAGTTTCCATTCAGATCCATTCGTGGAACTGCTATACCACAGAGCCTTGTATTCCCATTATACATCGTAGTACAAAACACATTTCACATTTAAAAAAAGAACATACATGTATAAACAGATATTTACAATAGAAAAATAATATATATAAATCCATCGAAAATCCATTCTTTCAAGGTGTAATGAAAAGGGAACACAATAATTATAAAAACACATCTGAAAAAAAATGTAAGTTGATATGAATACGGGATGATAAGTACTTTCAATTGTGTTTTCGATTCTTAAAAACCTAGGGCCATAATATCTGTGTGTATTAGTAATAATTATATTCATAACTTACAAAACGAAATTACTAAAATTGTTTAAAGCTGAAAGTAAATCAAATAAAAAATCAAATCAAACAATATTGCCCATACCACATGTTTTACAACACCAAACATTCTGTCTGGCACACTATGACACAAAAAGCAGGCTTCACAGACAGTACTGTTGTATTATTTCCTGATACACGCAGATTTTACGGCCATAATTTTCCGAAAACATAGTTACTAAAATTTCACATCGGATATTAACACGACTAGGATCTCCTAGTCACAGTACTGTATTTTGTTCTTTCACTGGCTCCTCTTAGATGATCTAGGAGTAAGGATATAATGGAGGGGGAGGAGGGAGTACATACCCCCAGGAAATCACCATCTGGCATAATTTAGAGTAAATATTAGGTACATACACTGTCGCTCATAAAGTTGGAATATTTTAGTTTTACCCCAATTTATAGAATTATTTTAAAAATAATTTAAAAATAATAGATCTAAATAATAGTATACATTCTCAGATTTTATTGAATAATTATTTGCCAATGTGTGTTTTGCGGGATTGCTAAAGCATGTGTATGCTACTATGCTTATCAACTAGGGGACCTACGCCCTCAAGTCATACATGTCAGTAATGAGGAGTAATGCCCCACAAAAGGGCATTATATAGCACATCGACACGGTTTTGATCCTGGGGCCTCACAGTTACGAGGCCATTGCTTTGTCACTGAACCATGACTATCGCAGCGGGGGCTAGGGTAGGGGGCAGTTTCCATGAATTAAAAAAGAAAAGAAAATGCAATAAATTTTCAATAATATATTGCATTTTACCCCGGTCCCCAACATACAAAAATCCTCTGGACGGCCATGCATTATGATTCAAGGCAAATATTCCACCTTTATGAGCGACAGTGTACAATTATTTTGCACAACATCGTGCCCTCCCCACGGCAGCTATTTTAATTCGAAAAAGACATCTGGAAAATGAAATCAGTGCTTTTTGTATGTGTTACTTGCTTTGTATTTTTTAAAAGAATTTTCGGACTTGTTCAACTCCTACCAAGGAGTCCTGGGACCCGTTTCACAAAGCCTTTTTTTAATGACAAATTACAAAAATCAGTAACAAATCTGCTGCTAACCAATCAGAAGCAATGATTTCAGTAGCTTATAACAAAAACTGTCATTTGTCGCTGATGACAAGTTTTGTGAAACGCCCCCCCCCCCTGGATGTGCCACTGTTGATGCAAAGAGACCAATGAAAATTATCCGTAATCTTACTGTTGTACCTTGTGACAATGAATAAATATCTAAGGGACAAATACTATAACTAATTTGATCTGAATTCAGCCTTTGTTCCTAATAGTGCGATATGACATTTATATTATAATTATTATTTGAAGAAGAGTGTTTTCGATCTTCATCTCTCAGCTAATTAGGATAGAACTCTTCAGTACCATAATGATATCAATAATTATCCAAACATTATGATCAATATAGATACATCAATATCGGTATAAAATTGTTATATACATTTTACGTAACTTGCACATATATGACCTACAGTTCTAGCTGTGAATAGTATGTGTATGTTTTAGGCAGAAGTGAAAATCTACAAATTTATAATAGTAATAACAATCATGATAATGATAATCATCATCATCACTATCATCATCATTTTCATCATAACAACAATCGGAATAATAATATAAATGATATTCATAATGGTATAGCCCTATTTAAAATTTCTAGCAAGTTAAAATCATCTTGAATTTGCTCCTGTTTGATTACTTAAACCAAAGTAGGTCCATGCTTAAATTGAATGAAATTTCCTTGCTATGCAATCAAATATGAGTAACTTCAAGATATTTTAAACTGGCTTACCGTTTTGAATAAGATTATCAAGTACTAGTTGGGTTTTACTTTCGTTTCAGCTGAACTTTACATTTGTACAGATTAAAATAAAATCTACACGAGAACAAATAAAAAGAGTATAACCACATATTAACAATGATAATGTATTACATTAAAGTTGTATAAACTACTACTAGATAATAAAATTAAAGCAATTTACAAGTTTATAAATCTAGTATTTATGTTACAAGGCAGTTTCTCAATGGGTAGAAAAATGCAGTATACAAAAATATAGTGACTGTATGATAAGCCACGAAGGATGCCTATTCAGAAAGAACTTCGGTGATACTAGAAATATGTGCAAAAATCTAAATATAGTTTTATCCGATTTCTTATTGCTTTATTTTGTCGGCACACGATATAGGCTGTTATGGTCAATCATTTGTTTTCCGTTACGATGTTTGTAATACTGTACTAGTTGGAGCACATCACATTATACATAATGCTGTTCACGTATTGGATTAAAGTTGTGTGAGACAGAAATGATAAGTTAATGCATGTTAGCCAATTCTCTTTTGATTTGTTATCAAACAAGGATTAGTTAGATACATTTTACCTGACATTCTTGACTTTCATTCCGTCTAATATGCAGTTAACAGCTAAATTATTAATACCCTTTGTTTTTTTTTTCGTTTTTCAAGAATCAAAGTAGACTGGCTGAATCAGGGTCTGTGTTGAATACTTTTAGATGTAAGGTTAATATGTCACATTCTCAAGAAAAATAATTCGGGACGAATCAACTTTTCACAAAATTAACTTAAACAATTCCAAAACTTGGTTAGGGTATGATTAATTTAGTTAACTGTATTTTACTAAAGGCGTCATTAGACGGCATTTGGAGTGAAAAGTGAGTCATTAAGTAGATATTGTCATTAGGAGGATAATAATTCTACAGACAAGTTTTAGGGTTTGGGTTTAGGTTTAGGGTTAGGATTAGGGTTTAGAATAGGGTTAGGATTTTTTATGATGTCCACATTAACAGGACATCTAAATATAACCCTAAATTGTACATTAACCGGATATCATAAAAACTGGTATATTACCCTAACCCTAACCCTAAATTTGAAACAATATATCTAATTTAAACTAATGACTAATGATTAAACCTATTGTTTCTTGGGAGGCCTCAAAGTTTTCTCTGCCTGCATACGTACATAGAGGGCAGTAACTCTATTGTCCAATCGTTAACAGGACACGAACATGTCCTGCTGATGACCATGTCTACTTAATGACTCATTTCTTCATTGCATAAGTCCTTCTAATGGCACTGTAGGATGTTTATGGATATATTTATTGGAAATGCTAAAAGAAACAAAGTTTAACGAGATGGAAAGTTGAAGTAGTAGAAAATATATTAATAGACAACGTTAGATGGAACGAACAAGAGGCATGAATTGAACTTCACAAGCTATTAATTCTCATCAGGCTCATTTCACCTATTTGTAAGAATATATCAAAATCACTTGAGAAGTTCATCCATGCCTCTTGTGTATTCCATAAAGCATCGTGAATTGATATATTTTCAACTAAATATATTTATATATATCTTTAATAATAATGATAATGACATTGGATTCTGATATAGCGCACGTATATATCTATATAGTATATCTTAAACTTTTGGAAATCTGTTTCTATTAGTTTTCAAGTTTCATACAGATGATTTGATTGCAAAAGGTTTTGACGATCTTACACATTTTGGATGGCATATGTAATGTAATAATGACGATTCTAACCCTTTTCCTTCTCTCCAGGAATCTCGATGCTCTTTTTATTCTGTATTGAAGCAAGGGAAGAAATAAAAGTATGATAAATTTTGGAGGCAAATAATCTTACTCAAGAAAATTACATACAAAAATGTGCATTGATAAACATTTAGCATATAACTTTTTATATTACTCTAACGTGTATTAGATTGGAAATTCACTTTCATCCGTTTTATATTTTTGACGGTACTAAAAATTAAAATAAAGAAGGTTGACTTTTAAAAATCCGATTGAGAGCCCTTCCCTGTGGAATAGAGGACTAATCTACCTAGTATACAAGCTGTACTTATTGTCAGAGATTTATGAGATTTGTGGGGATCCCATTCAATATTGTTGTTGCTGATATTGTATCTGTTATCATAGTAATAGTAGTAGTAGTAGTAGTAGTAGTAGTAGCAGTAGTATTAACAGTAGTAGCAGTAGTAGTAGTACTAGCAGTAGTAGTAGTATAAGTAATATAAGTAGTAGTAGTAGTAGTAGTAGTAGTAGTAGTAGTAGTAGAGGTAGTAGCAGTAGTAATATCATCATCTTAACCAGCATCAACATTAATATTGTTATTATTATTATGACTATTATCATCTACTTTTGTTTTCTTTTTCATGCTTTTCTTAAATTTCAAAGGTTGTGGTTCCTGAATAACTTATTTTTGAGAGTATAAAGCGCTTCCTGGTATATTCCCACCCCATACAGTCATATCGGGGGCAATTCGTGAGGTGATTTGGTCTTCATCTACCCTCTCTTTGCTTCCAGCGTCGGTTCTCTGTCCAGCAGCTATAGGGTTTCACTTATTAAAAAACAATAGTCAGTGGGTTAGTTATTTTGGGTTTCATGTGAACTTTTTTATTTTTGGTAGTAATGGCTGGCCTTACTGAGGAAAGCTTGACTGATTTGGTAAATAATGAGCCGAAACGACCATAACCAGGCGCGTACGCAGGATTTTTTCAAGGGGGGGGGGTTTAACATTTATAAATCGGGCCGAAAATTTCGCAACGACTCAGCCAGCCGCTGAATAAGCGGGGGGGGGGGGGGGGGGGGGGGGGGGGTAAGAGGTCACTTTTTTTTTTTGGTATCGAAATTAGAAAATTTGACATTTTGCTCCGTTGGGGGAGGGGGTAAGGTCAGATTTTTTAGGTCAACCATGGGCCATGGGAATGTGTTTTTTGTTTTTTTTTTGTTTTTTGTTTATAAAAACAAAAAGACAAAAAAAACAAAAAACAAAAGGGGGGGGGGGTTTAGAGAAATTTAGGGGGGGTTTACACACAAAAAATTACCAAAGGGGGGTTTAACCCCCCCCCCCCCCCTGTGTACGCGCCTGACCATAACACATGACAAATGAAAGACTTTCGTCATTATGATGTCAATACAGACTTTATAAATAATCTATAATAAGAGTGATGATAATATACAAATGATACACATGCGTGAGGGCATGACTAGTCGTGATAATTTAAGTGTTGGGAAAAAAAGAATTGACTGGTCACATATCCGCTACAAGCCAACTATTTGATCAATGGGGGGGGGGGGTTTAGAGAAATTTAGGGGGGGTTTACACACAAAAAATTACCAAAGGGGGGTTTAACCCCCCCCCCCCCCCCTGTGTACGCGCCTGACCATAACACATGACAAATGAAAGACTTTCGTCATTATGATGTCAATACAGACTTTATAAATAATCTATAATAAGAGTGATGATAATATACAAATGATACACATGCGTGAGGGCATGACTAGTCGTGATAATTTAAGTGTTGGGAAAAAAGAATTGACTGGTCACATATCCGCTACAAGCCAACTATTTGATCAATGGAACCATTTTATAATGATCAATATACTGCTATTTTCAATAATACATAATGCTAACAGAAATGAGCGTTACCATGGATAAAAAAAAGTTGTCATATATCGGTGCTTCCTGAAATTTAGTGTTATAAAAATGATAGGAAGCTTTTACGGCAAAGGTTTTTCAACTGCAAACAGAAGAATCCATCATCTTTTATATTAGAATTTGGCGATGAAAAGAAAAGTTGAGAAAAAAACTTACCAGTTCGGTACTCTTTTTGAGGTTAGTGTTCCTTAGTTCCTTAACATCGCGGTTTTGCATGTCTGGGTCAGCTATTGCTTTTTTCTGTGAAACACAATCATATAAACCTCATTAAATGATATGTTATTGTAATTTGATATATTATATTGTGCCCTCTCATGCTTTATCTCCTTTCTAATGGGCATTTCTCTTTCCTCATCTTCTTCTCAACCCCCACATGCAGCTCATCCTTTTGTTTTGTACCCCCGATCTCTCACTACTTTTTTGGCAATGTCTACGCTTTGTATTGTGACCGTGTTCTGTTTATCTTTTTCATGTAAAGTACTATGTACGGTCTTGTCCAGTTGTCGTCTCTGCTGCCCCCCCCCCCACACACACACACTTTTTAAACCTTATTTTGTAGTTCCTTTTGTAGTTACGAACTTTTTTTATTTAATTACTCATTATTTCTAAGTATCACTTGAGGAGTCCACACTTGTACAAGTATTGCCTTTTAGTGGACCCCTCTGTTTCCAAAATGTATTCCTAAATTGGTGTAAATGTTTATAAATAATTTGTAATGTTTTGTTGGAAAGATAAATAAATTCGATAGAATTGATTACAACGAATTGAAATTATTAGTATTATTATTAATTGAATTGAATTGAACTTAATTGTAATCAATGGTCAATCGAATTATCTGATGGTTGTAAGATGAAATAAGGATCATGACTGTAAATTAAGGGTAAGCTTGTATCATTAGGTGGCAAAGAGCACTGGCGCAATGGTGGGGCAGGAGGAGGCTGCCCCCATATGTTTCCACATTACAAGACAAGAAAAGGAAAGAAAAGATAAAATAAAGCAAGGAATGAAGAAGAAAGAAGATAGAAAAGAAGAGAGAAATAAAACAAACAAAGAAAAAGAGGAGAGAAAGATAAAGGCTTCGTTCAGTTTACTGCCATTTTCTTCCATAATAATTCCATTGGTTCCATTCAGTGCCTACCGTCAAGCCGTCAAAAAATGTTGGTATGTTTTGTGCGGCCTAATGTGTTGTCTTGTTACCAAACAAAATGTCCTCAAAAAATTTACCCTAAAGATATAAATACTCATTATTTCAGAAAGCCGTCTTTTGAATGGCTGAATTTTCTTAGTAAGCCAACGTGATATGTATCTTCATGATGTAAGACAAATTATATAAAAAAGTGTGCATGTTAATAACAAAAAGTGTGCATAGATAAACATTTAGTATATGACGTCTAACTCTTGTATCTATTCGTGTCGTTATTCACAGTGTGGTTATGGGCAGAGGAGATGCGGGCGTGCCAAATAACATCAGTGTTTTTTTTTTTTTTTTTTTTTTTTTTTTTTTTTTTTTTTTGGCTGCGCGCGCTGGTGGCTGCCCGCCCACACTGCACTGCTCTCTGATTTATCACTGATTTTGTTGTTTTCATTTGTCATCTCCATTTCTATTTTTGATATTTCATTGTACTTATATCCTGGATATTACTAGTCAAATTTGGAAGCATTTAGGTCAGTATTTTTGATGTACTTATTCTGTGAAGTTTTCGAGATTGCTTGAGGTTGTACTCACACATACAGTACACAGTAGAAGCCATGTTATACACATGTCATAGTGTAGTTGGTTTGTTCACTCATGCGTAAAGTCTGTGCTGACTTTCTTTCTTTGTTTGCTTTGAATAGACCTGTACTATTACAATGAATCTCACCACTTCAGTAGCTTTTGTGTGCTGTGTGGTCATGTTGTACTGTAAGTGTCATGTAATGCAACAATGGTGTCATGCTTCTGATCTGGTTTCTGATCCACATGTACAAAATGTTCCCTACATGTATTTAGAAGCTAGACCTGATGCATATTCGTTGAAGTTGAAATTGAAGGGAAAACATTTTTGTGCTCCAGTACAGTTACAGTAACAGTGTATCCACTTTTCAGATTTTGATATTGTTATCTGGCGATGTGAATCCGAACCCAGGCCCTGTCACACATAACTCGGCCTCCTCGGATAACGATAACAGTACAAGGTATTCTATATCATACAAGTATGACAGTAAAACACTTCACTCTTTTAATTCGCGTTCATGCTCGCTACTGTGGCGTGAACAGAATGAGGAATTATGTAATATGATTATGTCTTTAGGTATTAACAGACATGACATAGGGCGGAAGACACATCGAGGTATGAAGGGGGGCCGTGATCCTTTTAATAACAACCTCAAACTTGGTATGTTGAATTGCCGTTCTGTTCGTAATAAATCTACCTTATTAGAGGAATTTATTATTGACCGTAGTTTAGATTTTACATGTGTTTGCGAAACTTGGCTAACTGCATCAGACGATGCAGTGATTGCTGATCTTTGCCCTCGTGGTTATCTGTTCAAGCACCATCCCAGAGCTGCTAAACGTGGCGGCGGGGTCGGCTTTCTCTACAGGGACAGTCTCCACGTCGATATTAGTCCAACAGGCAAATTCGAAACATTTGAATCAATGTCTGGAACTGTATCTGGCGGCTCTACACAGGTTGACATTATAGTCATATACAGACCACCAGGATACCAGTCTTTCACTCAGTTTCTTATCGACTTCTCTGCGCTTCTTGATGAGAGGTTGTGCAAACCATACCCACTTTTGATCACCGGAGATTTAAACATCCATCTAGATAACACTTCATCCCAGCATACACTCAGGTTTGTGGACCTTATTAACAGTCATGGCCTATCCCAATTGGTTACATCTCCGACTCACGACAAAGGTCACATTCTGGACGTCGTTCTGGTGCGCAATTCAGACAATTTGTCAATTTCGAAGCCAAGTATCGTTCCAGGTATATCAGATCATGCTGCTATCACTTGTGTACTTCGCTTCACTAAGCCTGCACGCAGCGACAGAACATTTGCTTCCCGTAATATTAAAGACATAAACAGGATAGCCTTCGCGAAGGATGTTGCTGAGAGCGACATTATGCCCTTAACGTCAGAGAGTGTCAACACAGCTACTAGTCGCTACAACACCATTCTTTCTTCGCTCCTCGATATTCACGCTCCTGCCAAGATCCGCAAGGTTCGAGACCGTCAGGACAATCCCTGGTACAACGGCGAGATTACTGCTGAGAAACGTAAACGTAGGCAGCTTGAGCGGAGATGGCGATCTAACGGCAAGCTTCACATTGACAAAGAGATGTTCCGTGCGCAACGAGATTTCACGAACTCTCTCGTCGAACGAGCCAAACGTTCGTACTTTGTCGGGCTAATCGATAAATGTGGACATGACTCTAAGAAACTCTTCTCTACGGCCAATCGTCTCTTGAATCGGAAACAGAACTCTCCACTTCCAAGACATTCTGATAGTAAAGAACTGGCTCAAAGATTTATTCAGTTCTTCCGCTCCAAGGTTCAGAAGATCCAGGACAGTCTCACTCCTGACTTAACTCCACCTGATCCTGTCACGTCAGCATCCCTCGAGACGATTCAACCTACCACCTCCGATGAGATACAATTACTGCTTCATAGATTGCCAGCTAAGTCGTGTAAACTAGACCCTGTCTATACTGTTCTCATTAAGGATTGCTCCTCTTCATTTGCATCTGTTATCTCACAGATTGTCAACTTAAGTATTGTTCAGGCATGCGTACCTTCTGTTCTTAAAACGGCACACATTCTTCCTTTACTGAAGAAACCCAATCTTGATTCTGAATTACTAAGTAATTACCGTCCAGTTTCTAATCTCCCGTTTTTATTTAAAATACTTGAGAGGGTGGTGTTCTCTAGATTAAATGATTACTGTCTCGATAATGACCTCCTTGACCCATTTCAATCTGCATACCGTCCCCACCACAGTGTAGAAACCCTCCTTGTTAATGTATCCAACTTTATACTCCAGGAGATGGATGGCGGAAAAGTAACTGCTATGGTACTCCTTGATTTGTCTTCCGCCTTTGACACTGTTAACCACACTGTTCTGGTGAATACCCTCATGTCACTCGGTATTAAAGGTCAAGCCCTGGAATGGTTTAAATCATACCTGTCATGCCATTCTCAAGCTGTCTTGATAAACGGCTACCTTTCAGATTTTGTACCACTTACATGCGGAGTTCCACAAGGCTCTGTGGGCGGGCCCACGCTTTTTTTCGTTATATTTAACGGGTTTGAAGAGTATTTTTCATCGCCATTCTCTCTCTTATCATGTTTATGCTGATGATATTCAAATATATACTTCTTTCAAACCCAATCAGAGCAATGCAGCCAGCGCTATCCATAACATTGAGACTTGTGTACAAGATGTTCATAATTGGTTAAACTCACATTCACTGAAATTAAATCTCGCCAAATGCGAATTTATAATGTATGGTTCTGAGACTCAGTTAGAGAAGATTTCTTCCATCACTTCAATTACTCTTGCTGGACATGAAATTACCCTATCTAATGTATGTCGCAACCTTGGTGTGTTTCTCGACTCAAACATGAAAATGTCTACTCAAATTCAATATGTCTCAAAATCAGTACGTTATCAGTTACGCAATTTGGGTTTTATTCGTAAATATCTTCAGTTAACCGTGGTGCCACCGAGAAAATTACTCATGCTTTGATTTCTTCTCGCTTGGATTTTGGTAATGGCCTTTTGTTTAGTTCGCCTCACAACCTACTCGCAAAATTACAAAGATTACAGAATGCTGCTGCTCGTGTCGTGACCCTGTCCAACAAGTACAGTCACATCACACCAGTCCTCAAATCACTCCATTGGTTGCCCGTAGAAAAACGTGTTGTTTTCAAGATTATTTTGCTATTATTTCACTGTATACATGGCTCTGCTCCGCAGTATAACATCGGCTTGATTAAGCATTACTTTCCTTCTAGACAGCTACGTTCTCAAAACTCTGGCTTACTTGTTACTCCTAGGGTTAAAACAAAGTGGGGGGAACGAACCTTCGCTCATGCTGGGCCTTCGTTATGGAATACTCTCCCTCAATGGGTTAAGAATAGCAGTTCTGCTGAGGTGTTAAAAAACAATCTTAAGAAATATCTGTTTAATTTAGCTTATAATTGATTACCATTACCTTTCATGTCTGTACCTTTCCTATCGCACTTTGTATAAATGTATCATGTATGTATTTCATCTTTTGCACAAGCTGCGCCTTGAGCATTTGACTGTCAAGTGGATTTGGCGCCTTATAAATCATATGTATTATTATTATTACTAAAAGGAGTATTAAGCATTTGTACATCAGCCGACTTATTCGCTTGAGTCGGCAACGAACTGTATGGACGTCCTTGTAAGGAGCTCTAATTTTGCTTCAGATTTTTCGCCAAAATATTTCGGTAATATCTAATACCCTTTTCACATCTATTTTTCTTAACCCCGGACTATCCTTAACCCCATACTATCCTTAACCCCATACTATTTTTTTTGCTGTTCACATCTATTTTCTTAACCCCGGACTATGTGCTTAGCCGGGGTTAAGAAATTTCACGCGATTCACACTACGTTCGCCTTAGCCCCGGACTATTCGATAGCTCATGAATATTAATGCTTTTGCTACCGCGCATGCGTAACGTGAACTGCATGCATGCGTAACGTGAACTGCATGCATAGCGCGCGATAAATGCAAATTCACGACCACACGACCACGCTGTCTGTGATTGGCTGTTGCTTAGCCCCGCTTCTCCTTAGCCCGGTTCGGATTCACACTACGCAGCTTAGCACCACAATTGCCCGGCTAACCCCGCAATTGCCCGGCTAACCCTGCTATTTTGCAGGGCCAGATAGTCCCGTACTATTTGTGGGGTTAGCCCACTTTGGCAAAACGTAATGTGAACAGAAAGCCGGCTAAAATTACCCCGGGTAATTGGTGGGGCTAAGAGCCCCCTTAGCCCCACCTATTTCCCGGGGTTAAGCAATATTTGGTAGATGTGAAAAGGGTATTATTGTGCTTTTGTAGTTTCTGTAGGGTCGAGAGCAGCTTAATTCTTGCAATTCTGAAAAAACAATTTTCTCATAAGGAGTGCTGAATACTCTAGCTTTGCCGTACAGTTTACAGTACACGGCAATATGGACGGTGACGTCATCCAAGATTGCAGCCAAGCTGGTTCGACCAGCATCAACGTTGCACAATCTGCAACTGTTATTATTCCGGACCAAAAGGGATTAGAAGAGAAGAAGGGGCCCAAGGAGAAGAACAGACGAGAAGGAGTTGCACCTCATCAAGATTTAGCTTCACAAATTGATGAAGACACTGTGGTGACTGGTGGATTACTTGAAGTTGAGGTATCAGCATCATTATCAATGTAACTCCAAATTCTTGTCATAGATTAGGTAAGAAGAAGGTAGATAATTAGGCTGTTCTACAACACGAAGAGGACAAAAAGCTTTTGTAGAGAGGTAGTCGTCAAGTAAGACAAGTTAATCATGGAATGTGTCTCTTTTTACCCTTCAAGGGTCTACAAATGTCTGGACATAACGATTCTGTAGCGAGAAGAGGATTTCAAGTTGCAAATGAGCTACATAGAAAAGGGCTTATTAAAGAACCAAGCTGGACAATAATGGGAAAAGGTTCTTCCTAAAGACTCAGTTATCACCTTGAGATCTTCTGCCTCACCGCCTGACAGAGCAGGAATTAAGGCCGGAAGGGGAGGAGTTAGAAGAAGAGATCTGCACCGAACCCTATAACACTGACAACACTTTTGATGTGTGAAGGAGAACACGGTTGAACATGGAAGTACATGTACTACTCCCCAAGATGGATTGAATCACACTTATTGCACACGCGCAACACATATTCGAAAATGTAAAGAATATAATATACTCAACGTTGTACACGTGAACGCCTTTAGTAACAAGAACAAACGTGGCGAACTTAGACTTAGATGCAGCATGGTCTAAATTGTGACTAGTTAAATTTCATACTGACAAATGTGTGGTGACACTATCGGAGATGCCATTATCTACCCATACTCTATCAACGGTGTTAATCTACAGGACTACAGGACGTGTCGAACCAGAAAAGACTTTGGTGTCATTGTAATACCCTCACCGCTATTAAACATGTTGATAACCTAGTGAAAAAAGCCCATCGAAAGGCTAGGGTGCCATGTTCCGACGCTGTTTTACTGGGCTTGACGAAAGAAAAACAAACATATTATATCAATCAACAATTCTTCCAGGGCTGAAGTATGTATGATCTGTTTTTGGAGCCATCTTCCAAAGAAGAATATTGAGAAGTTAGAGAAGTTGCAAGCAAAATGCTTACATCTTTGGAAGAAATTTGCAATATGAACTACTGCAGAGGAGGACAGTAATAACAGACCTCATCAATAGCAAACTTTTTTTTCAAACCTGTCTATAAAGACCACCCAAGGGAGACAAGAAAGTGGTCTTTATGGGCAAGTGATCTTTGTAGACAGGTTCCTTTCGTTCATGTTTCAATGAGAAACCATTTTCAAGTGAAACAAAAAAAAATGTGGTCTTTGTAGACAGGTAGTCTTTGTAGCCAAGTGGTCACTAAAGCAGGTTTGACTGTAGTAGTAGTAGTAGTAATATCGTCGTCTTTACCAGCATCATTATTGTTATTGTTAATTTATTATTACTATTTTAATTATTATTATTACTATTATACATGTTATTCTGTTTCTCCGCCTTTTGTTCTTCTTTCTATTACCTGCACTACTATTACTACTCCTACTACTTATACATGTAAGACAGACAGAAAGAAAGACAGAGAAGGGGGAGAAAGAAAGTTTTACGTACTTCATCTTTAGCATAAATCTGTTTTATCATCGGGCCTTTAATTTCATCTTTCAGACGGCCGGGTTTTGCAGATCCTTGGTCATTGGACGTTGGCGCATATGACTTATGGATCTATATTAGGATTGGAGAAAATTAGTGGTAAACACTTGAAATAACTAACATATTATAAACAGATTAGTTTTTAATTTGTACTGAAATAATATATCAAACCTATACCTGTACACTCCAAATCGAGATGGGTAAGATTTCACCCATCAGTGCCGGGTAAAAACAAAAAACTAAATTGGGTGAAATTTATCCAATGTATTACAAAAACCACTGCCAATCTTTACTGCAATGTAATTTGCTATTTACCCAACATGGTTAAGGGTTTTAATCCTTGTCCGACCAAATGTCCTTCGGCAAGACATTAATCCACATTTGCTACTCTCCACACAGGTGTAAATGAGTACCGAACAATTGCTGTGTTAATAATTAATGTAGGATCATCCGGAAGAAGATTATCGTTCTATTGATGATGATGATGCGGCTTTCTTGGGGAAACAAAGTTGTTATCATTTTTTATTATGTCTTCTATTCCTATCATCATCATTAATACTTATATTATTAATCTAGAAATCATTACTATTGCTATTATTATTAATAATGTTATCATTATCATCATTTAAATTTTCAATATTATTATTTGTATTATTATTACCGTTATTAAGAGTGGCATTGCTTGATTGGAATGTTTAGTTTCCTCGTTTTTTAAGAGTAAATCACAATACTATTAGGTTATCACTACCGTTATGGTTATACTGAGCACAAGTATAGAAGTGTTGATATTAAATCCTTGTATATCAATTAAGAGGTGCACAGTGGCAACTTTTTTTTTTATTTTGTAGAAGGTATGGGATAATTACAACAGATGTACTTACAAGAGTTGTCAGTTGTTCCCTGGTACGACTATCCAAGTCCAATGCCGGACGCCATACAGATTTTGACGGTTGTGGTTCCTTAATGAATGAAATTAGCAACTCAATTTAGTGATTTTTTTTCGTTCTTCTTGAATGGACCATGCTTCACTTTACAATAACTTTTGTAAAGAGTATAAAGCGTTTCTTCATATAATCCCAACTGCATACAGTCATATCGGGGGCAATTCGTGAAGTAATTCTGTCTTCATCTACCCTCTCTTTGTTTCCAGCGTCGGTTCTCTGTCCAGCACCTAGGGTTTCCTCAAAACAATAGTCAGTAGGTTATTTGTATCGGGTCTCATGTGAATAATTTTATTTTGGGTATTCATGGCAAATAATGTCGGCAACGCCTTAATAAGGAAATTGTCACCGATGTGGTAAATAATGAGCCGGAACGACCATAAAACATGAAAAATGAAAGACTATCGTCATTGTGATGGTAATAAAACTTTATGAATAGTCAAGAATAAGAGTGATGATAATATACAAATAATACACAGGATTGATAGCATGACCGGTCGTGATAACCATACGTATTTGGAAAGAATGAATTACTAGTCACATTTCGGCTATAAGCCACTTGTTTTATTAGGATCCATGGAAACATTTTATAATGATCAATACACCGGTACTGCTATTTTCAATAATACACACTTTTGATAGAAATGAACATTTCCTTGGATAAACATAGTTGTCGTATATCGGTGCTCCCTGTAATTTCTGAGTGTTATACAAACGATAGAAAGTTTTTACTGAAAAGGTTTCTCAAGGTAAAAAGGAAGCTACTTTCATCTTTCAAATTAATTAGCGACGATGAGAAGATAATTTGATTAAAACTCACCGGGATGGTCTTATCGTTCAGGTTGATGTTTCTTTCTTCCTTTGCATCGGTGTTTGGCATGTTTCGGAGACCCATTGCTTTATCCTGTGAAACACAAGGTGACATAATTGTAATCACGAATAAGAGTGATGATAATATACAAATAACACACACGAGGGCATGACCGGTTGGATAAACAAACGTGTTGGGAACAAATAAATTACTGGTCAAATGTAGCCTTTAAGCCAACTATTTGATAAGGATCTATGGAACCAATATAATGATCAATAAACTGTTGTATTCAATAATACATTATGTAAACAGAAATAACCATTACCATGGATAAACAAAATGGTCACATATCGGTGCTCCCTGAATTTGATAGTGTTATAAAAATGACAGAAAGTTTTTTACGGAAAAAGAAAGATACTACATCTGTTTATTTAATATATGGCGATGAAAAAAAAATGAAAATTTGAGCAAAACTCACCTGATCGGTACTCTCATTGAAGTTGTTCTTCAGTTCCTTTGCATCGTCGTTAATCATGTCTGGTTGATCCATTGTTTTTTCCTGTGAAACACAAGGCAATATAATTGTAATCAATGGTCAAATGATATATCTGATGGTAACAAGATGAATGACTGTATATTAAAGGTATTAAAGATTGTTGCACGAGGTGAAAAGACCTATTACAAGCAAAACAAGACCCCTCCCCGATCTGTACACATTCCTGTCAATATGTGTGGAATATCAAGGGAAGTCCATTCAGATCGTATTAAAGATGATGCAATGGTTGAAAAATATCATACACAGTCATTGACACAAATCACTAGTTCAAGGGGTTTAATTTGTGGGCAAAAGGTAAAATCAGCATTTCAGATGAGCCATTTTGATGCAGAATATTTGCCATCTGTTGGAGGTGCATCTTCTCCTTCTACAAGAGAATGTAACACTTTGCTCATGCGCGGAATGGGCGTTTTGTGTTGCTGATGGACCCCGAACACAGATCATCTATGAGTAGTTGTCCTATAAGCGGTAGTTGTGTTTCTCTCATTGATTGTTGTTTAATTGCTCAAATTTTGATATTTGTGGCACGCCCTTTCCTTGTTATAAGAATTGGTCTAATACTTTCAAAGGATTCACTTGATTTTCAGTTTCAATTTAGTTTGTCATTGTATGATATGAATATACAAGTCATGTACATACCAGTGGACTACTGTGAGGCAGTGGAGTAGAACAAGAATTCGGGTCACACGGAGCACTCGCGTCCAACCAGCTAGAGGTGGAAGTATCTGAAGCCCTCAATGAATTATCGGCTTGGACGCAGATTTTTGCTTGGCTTCCTTGTTGTGACTGGTAATTACAAACCAATTTTAAATCATATCTTAATTGAGGTAAAATCCATACCTAGTGTAACTTTCAGGATGCCGTCTATCAAAACATCTAAATGGCTGAATTTTCTTAGTAAGCCAACGTGATGTTTGTTTTAAATGCAAGATAATTACGATGATGGGAACTCTTCTCATACCCCTACCAGCTCCCTTTTGAAAACTACAGGCTTATAATTATGATGAAATGTCTTTCATAAGTGAGGGAAGACATGAAAAATATTGAAGAAGGGGCGTCGATTCCGGGGAACTGGGACACGCCTTATACGGGTTGTTTTTCTACCGAGGGGTGGGGGGGGGGGGCGTGCCCTCCCCTCACCGGGATTTTATTATGTAGTGAAAAATGATTTAAGGCTACATAACTTTTTACATATAAAATAGAGAAAATTGATAAATCTTAGATCTACAAATCAAAATTTGTCCAATTGATGATTTTACGCTGCCTATCCTCATCAGAGAGGGATAACGGGTGAATATTGTATCAGGACAAATACCCCCAAGACAATGCCCCCCCCCCCCGGAAAATTACTACCCCTAGGACAATTACCCCCTGTTCATTAAAAGGAAAGTCCACCCTTAATTAAAATTGATTGTATTTTTTTCATTGGGTAATTGGCTTGGGGGGGCGTGATTGTCGAAGGGGGTAATTTTCAGGGGGTAAAGGTTCTTCGGGGGTGGTTAATTATTCGGGGGTATTTTTCCTGGTGGATAATTGTCCACAAGCACTTCCCTATTTTTCTTTATTCTGCTTTCCGACAATATTTAAAATGCCATTTTTTTGTATTGATTGTGCATTGATTGAAGCGCAAAGTGAGATTTACCTTGGGAAAACTACCCGCATCAGGATCAAAGGCCTCGAGCTGTTCTAGTACGACTCTTCTTTGGATTTTCATACGTAGCCTAGTCACCTTACTCAGCCAAAATCGAATGAGGTTATCATCCTCGCGTTTTGTGACTTTAACACTTTGTGGCAAGGGGCTGGTCTCCTGTAAGGAACCAGAACAAGTCTGTAAAATGAAAATATTGGAATCATTATTACATTATTAGGAACTCGGTCCCCGCTAGCTTGCTTTGAACAGTAATCCCAACACCCATGATACCATACAGTGCGTCCCAGGAAAAACGAAACCGAACATTATCGATGTTTTATCATAACTTACTCACAATTACAATAAATAAATGACACATATTTGTAAAGTTTAGATCCTCCTCTTTCATTTGATGCAATAAAGCATGGGTGATTTAAAACGATTTGAAGAGAGGAAGCCGAAAAGTCATTTGGCGGGCGATATCCGAATTTAAAAGAGATAATCACACTTCTAGAAAGCTCATTTTCTGCCATGTCATATGACACCTCAATTAGGAAAAATGAGCCAGGAATAACAAAGTTCTGTTTGTTTAAAGTAATGCTTGCATTTCCATAATTTGACTAAACGGTTTCATTTTAACTGGTTGCCTGTCGTAGCAACAAACAGAGTTGACAAAAGACTTAACTCCGCTTAGTTGACGATCAGCCATGCATCAAGTCTTTCGTCTTCTTTGTGAAATTCGGATACCGCCCGCCAAATGACCTTTTGATTTCCTCTCTTCAACTTGTTTTAAATCACTCATGCTTGAAAAATGCATCATATGAGTTGCATCAAAAGAAATAAAAATATCTAGGCTTTACAAATATATGTCATTCATTTAGTATAATTGTGATTAAGTGATCAAAACCGTGTCGATGTGCTATATAAGTGCCCTTTTGTGGGGCATTAATACTCATTACTGTCATTTATGACTTAAGGGCGAAGGTCCCCTAGTTGATAAGCATATTAGCATACACATGCCTTTATCATTCACGCAAAACAAACACTGGCAAATAATTATTCAATACAATCTGAGAATGTATACTATTATCTAGATCTATTAAAAAAAATATATTCCAACTTTATGAGCGACAGTGTATACAAATTTTGCTAAATATTTGTTTTTTTCCCTTCTAAATATACTCATCAAGTGAAGGTCAGCAGATAAACTTAAGGCAATTGAAATTATTAATGTAGGTGTCTGTATGCTATCATCTCTAGAATGCATAGAAATTGGAATAGAAATTTCGAAATATGTAATACGTGCTACTCAGATGACTGTGTCAAAAATAGGAGACCCAAAATACATGACTTTAATTCAATTGTCCAAACCTGTTCTATCTCAATAGCCGATTGATTGGATCTCGAGTTGGTGTGTTGGCTCAATGATTGGCTCAATGATGCAGACCCTGACATTTTCACAAGTGCTTCTAATATGATCGCAGAGATGTTGTTAAGTGCATCTTCTCTCGTCTTCGACTCCCTTAGTATGAATCGCATATGTCTTTCAAGTGTTGATGCAATTTTTTCGTTGGCAGCTCTCACCTGGTCATCTTCATCATATTTCAAAAACTGAATAGGAAAAGTAATAAAGTTTATAACAAATTATAGTTATCAGATATTTCCTGTTGTTTTTTGTAAACCTATGTAGGACTCCGTGTAAAACGATTCGGCAAAAAACAAGAAAGAAAAGATCTAAAGAAAACATATGCCCCATTGAATTCGAAAAACTATTTTGTATGTGACATCAATTATTTGCAAAAGTAAGTAGTCCACGCCAAATTTACGTTGATATACACTGCGGCCCAGAAAAAACCAAAACCGAGAATTATCGATGTTTTTATCATAACTTAATCACGCATCAGGTCTTTCGTCTTTCTTTGTGTATGGCTGATCCTCAATGAAACGGAGTTAAGTCTCTTGTCAACTCTGTTTGTTAATACAACAGGCAGCCAGTGAAAACCAATTTGTTTAATCAAATTATGGAAATGCAAGCATTTCTTTAAACGAACAAAACTTTGTTATTCCTGGCTCATTTGTCCTGATTAAGGTGTCATATGGAAGACCGGAGCAGAAAATGAACTTTCTAGAAAGTTCATTTTCGCATATTTAATGAGCTTTGAACTTTGACCTACATATTCTTAAATCGAGATTAAACTTTATTTTGATACCATGTACGGCCTTCATATCATATTTCATTAAAATACGTAAAACATTTAATACTAAAGTTATCGAAGGGAAACCACATTTCGGATACATAATTAGCTGATTGTGCATTTGTAATGAGCTATGACCATTTGACCTTTGATCTACGTACTCTGAAATCGAACTATGGCTGTATTTTGATACCATGTACTTCCATATCAAATTTCATTAAAATCCGTCAAACATTACCTCAGTTATCGAACAGAAACCAAATTTTATAATAATTACCTGTTTTTGCATATTCAATGAGCTTTGACTCTTGACATACATACTCCCAAATCGAACTTAGGCTGTGTTTACTAACGCAAATCATAGCATCCCCTCGCTGGGTACAAATGGCATATTTTTAGCAGTTAGTGCATATTTGATGAGCTGTGACCTTTGACCTACATACTTTGGAATCGAACTTAGATTGTGTTTTGATACCATGTACCTTCATATCATATTTACTAAATTTATCCCCTCCGACTATGTCGGCGAGGGGATAAAATCTCCTTTGATAACGCAAGTCTATCTTCTCCACCTCCCTCTCTCCGTTTTTGTTTTGTTGCTCGTGTTGATCATGCACATGTTGCCTTGACAAGCTTGTATAATTTACGTGTATCTTTTGTTAACATTTCTAAAATGCACTTGTATTCAATGAAGAAGCCTTGTTTAATACATCGTTACGTTTTTTTAATCAAGATTCATACTTTGTGTTGAGTCTCTCTCTCCATATATATATTAACATATAAAGGCGCGTACGCAGGGAGGGGGAGTTTTGGGGGTTGAACCCTCCCTTCCCCCCTTTAGTATTTTGTATGTGTATATTTTTGAGCAACCCCCCCCCCCCCTTGGCGTTTTTTTTTTTTTTTTTAATGAAAAAAAGGTGATAATAATAAAAAAAAAGTGACCTTACCCCCCCCCCCCCCCCCCCCAACGATACAAAATTTCAAATTTTCAAATTTCGAGACCAAAAAAAAAAAAAAAAAAGTGTCCTCTAACCCCCCCCCCCCCCGGCTGGCTGAGTCGTTACGAAATGTTTCGGCCCAATTTAAAAATTTTAACCCCCCCCCCCCCCTTGAAAAAAAATCAAAAATATCCTGCGTACGCGCCTGAACATATACATTGTATACTTTATAACATTATACATATTTTACATGTAAATATTTATTCATACAAGTCATATACTTGTTTAAATACATATATATCTATTATTTGTTTTGCTGGACAGTAAAGCTAACAAAAAAATGTATATAGATATAGATGAATTTTGACTTATTATTAGCCTATTTTGTTCCCCGAAATGAAAAAAGAATGAAACTGAATGTTAAAAATAACCTCAATAGAATTTTCATTATTGATAATATCGGATATCAAAGAACATGAACCACCCCCTCCTCATTTAAAAAAAAAATCCGGACGAGAAAATAAAAGACAATGTTACTTGGCCTTAGCTCCAATAAAAAGAGATGTAAAAAGGAAAATTGCATATTACGTTTTCCTTGTATAAATTGAACATGGATCTATCCGATTGCTGGTTCACGGGCATTGTCAGCAGAATTTCACATACGTCTCTGTTGCGGTCGACAGGAATAGTATCTAGTGCATCTAGAAAATATTCAACATCTGTCAGAACATCTTCTTGGACGCCCAGGTTTCCGCTGCTGAGGTACTGGGATAAATTGTGGGGAGCGATTGACAGAAAAAAAGGATAAGTTTGCTGTCACATGTGGGCTAACAATTACAACCTCTGTATTAAGGGCACACTGGTGACACCGGGTTATTTATTTTTTAGGGGGGATCTTTGCAAATTTGACTGGAGAGTTAAACCATGTATTACAATCACAATGTACAATGAATGTAATATATGTAGAGCTCAATAATGTAATTAAATATTGGAATTATATATATATATATATATAATTTTTAATAGTCCACCTCGATGGGCGAATATAGGATAACACCTGTCATGGTAAAATCTCCCAATAGTTCTAAGAAATAAATAAATATCTGCATGAGTTTCAAATTACAAAAGTTGGAACATGCTTTCTAAATACCACGGATGTATATTCCTTTAAGTATTTATATATGTATTTTCATGTCGGGACTGTCCTATGGGTCAACGCGCGTACGGCTTTGTAATGTATGGAGAAGGAAAAATGGCATGAGAGATACTCACATGTGTACAACATCGATAAAAAAAATATCTATGATCTGTTTCTTCTTCTTTTTTAAGTTAAGGGTTAGTTTTCAACAATAGAGATTACGTCATCAATAGGCGGCTATATAAAGGGGGAGATTCCCTACCTTCTCAATAGATGCAGAATAGTTGTAACCTTTTTGAGGTGCATCTTCTTCTTCATGCAACTCTACAAAAGAGTGTAACACTTTTCTCATGCTTTTCACGACTAGGCGTCTTCCTTTCTCGTTTTCAGCACAAATATCTTCTATTAGGAGTGGTCCTACAGGCGGTAGTGGTGTTTCTTCTGCATCTGAGGTCTGTAACATAAGGCAGACAATATGGTATAGACTGGCTCAACCAAACAAAGTCACTCGAAACAGGACTCCCGAAGATTATGGACTTTTTCAGCCTCTTTTTTTCTTCGTGCATCCAAAGTCGTTGTATAGCGCCCTCTCAAGACTGATATTACTTTAGCTCTTAAACAACATTTCTTGACTACACTCGACCGATTTGCTATTCGCGTTTGGAAATTATATATCAGAACGCTGAGATTTCCATGATCACAGCTACCATGGAATGGCCTTAGGCGCTATGTGAAATATTTTGAATTTACCGGGAGTACCTGTAAATTTTAGCTTAATTAATTTCTCGAAAGCAGAAATGTTTTAGGGGCTAAATATTTTCTAGTGCTTATTATACATCTACAGGGGCATCTAAATATATCAACATTTTAAAGAAATACTATCAATCCAATTTTCAAAATTTCCCGAAACTTTGCATTACCTTTAACAGATAGGGCAAATACAAGAAAAGTTTAATGTGAAAAGAGTGTACTTACTAATGCCTGGGATGCATTTGAATTTTCTTCTGGCCTGTCATCCACGTCTACATCATCACTGCCATGTGTACCTTCCTATTAAAAAAAATAGAATATAGCCAAGCCTTAGAGAATGAAACACCCTCATCCACAAGGAGTTTGTTAACGTAGATGGAAAACACTTTTAACTATACCCCGTGTCAAAAAATATCCTGTTCAGGGATGGTTAATTTGACATAAAATAGTCCCACCACGAAAATAAAAGTAATGGCTGCGTTTTAGAAATAGAAAAAAGTCAGAGTTTGTCATTGTATGATAACATTTTAAAAGTCAAAGACATACCTGTGCACTATTATAGAGCAGTGTAGTAGAAGAAGAATTCAAGTTGCACGGGGCACTCGCGTACAACCCGTTACAGGTCGTACTATATTGAGGCCTCGATGAAATATTGGCTTGGTCGCTCATGACTGCTGGGCTTCCTTGCTGTAAATAAAAATTATAAACCAATTCGAAATCATATTTAAATAAAGGGTAAAAATCCGGACCAAAGGTTACTTGATTTCACTACATACTGTTAGAAGCGGGAAAATCAGACAAAGAGATTTTCATTTTCTTTTTTATTGCGGGAAATTGGAAAACTAGTTTTACTTTTTAAATAATTAAAGAGAGGTAAGTGTTTGTCATTGTATGATATAAATATACAAGTCATTTACTTACCTGTGTATGGAGCAGTGGAGTAGAAAAATAATTCGCGTTATAAGGAGCACTCGCATCCAACCTACTATAAGTGTTAGGCCTTGGACCCTCCGATGAGATATCGGCTTGAACGCTGGTGTTTGCCGGGCTTCCTTGCTGTAAGTGGTAATAACAAACCAATTTTAAGTCACATCTAAGTAAAGGGTAAAATCCGGACCAAGAGTAACTAAATTTCATTACATACTGACAGGAACAGAAGAATCAGACAAACAGATTTTCCTTTTCTGTTTTACTGACAAAAATTGGACAACTGGTTTTACTTTTTTCCCCACTGACATTGAATATCTATGGAAAAGTAGGAAAATCTCTTGACAATTAGAATTAGGCCATGAGTTTGTGTAGTTATTCGTAATCCCTTCACTGCGTGTTTTAGTTGACCAAGTTGATAGTTGTTAAGGAATTTGCATAGTACTTCCCTATATTTTACCCACTTCATTAGTAAATTAATAATTTGATGATCAGTTTTTCGATAATCTTCAGGCTTCCTAACTCTAATTGTTTTTTTGCTTATATTGAAACAAGTTAATCTCTGATCGGACATGCCCTTTAAAACCGGTCTGCACTAGTTTGGCCAGGGGGGGGGGGGGGTTAGACCTCCCTGCAAGGTGACTGACAGGTGTTTATCTCATCAAATTAGCTCTCAATTAACATAAGAAAAAGAGGATCATGGGGGACCACTTAACAGGCACCGATTAGGCATTGTTTGCTATATAGAGGGCGCAAGTAGCTATAGGTAGTGCAATATTTAGGGCTTTAAAGAAATCTTTCCTTTTCCAGCTGTTCATAAGGTAACCCTATACCAGTGGCGTATCAAGGTATTGGCCTCATGAGGCACACAACTTCTCAGGCTAGTGCGATCCATTATCTAAATAAGGAAACCACATTTTAAGGGCCTTGGTTGAGTAGAGGGGAGAGGGGGTCGTACTGTCCAAAATGGACTTATTTTGGGAAGAAAGAGGAAAGAAAAATCCCAAAATTTGTATATATATCATGCGTTTCCAGGGTGCAATCGTACAACTATTTAATCCTAACTCCTAAAAGTTGCTTAAATTTTGTGTTCTTAAGCGAAAATCTGTCAGAAGAGGCACATTGTAGAGGTGTCGTGGTCGAGTGGCGTACGCATAGGGGTAGTTTTGGGGGTAGAACCCCCCCCCCCCCTCAATTTTTTGTGTGATTGTTTTGGAGGAAACCCCCTCCCCTCATTTTGTTTTATCGTTTTAAATATAAAAAAATACAAAATTATTAAAAACAATTTTTTTTTTTAACGTGCTAATAGGTGACCCAAAAAGGTGACCTTATCGATCGGCCAAATTTCCAAATTTCGGGACAAAAACAAAATGTGCAGAGCAACGAGCCCAGGACAGATCATACTGGAGCATGATTTCTCGTAGGGGAGCAAGGGGACACACCGTCCTATGCACTTAAGTCAAGTAAGTCAAGTAATAAGTAAGTCAAGTCAAATGGGACATACATAGTACTTTTAAAGAAAGACTTCGTAACGGCGCGCCACCTTTTATACATTTATCTATTTATATATATTCATTCATTTATTCATTCATCCTCGTTCATGTTAATGGGTGCAAAAGGTAATTAAGCATATTGAATTTGTAGGCATAAGCATAGCTTTTGATACTGAGACCCGCTCTGTAACGGAGTATTTTTGCAATTATGTTGTTTAAAAACACGTATCCAGGGTTCCATTAACGACGGGGGTTCGTACTCAATAAATACTCCGGTTTCATAATCCGTTTCTACTTACAGAAGATAGAACGTTTTATTGTTTAATAACAATAACACGATCAATTTATCACACAAATGAAATTATATAAAACAATTGAACAAGGAACCTTCTTACCAAACTTCGGCAGGCTGTAAAGAGTCTTGTATCCATAATTCCTAAAACATAAGGAACATATTTTATGGTATAGATCAGTTTGAATTCAATTTTTGTCCGAAATGTGATAGGGTTCTGCGATCTAAATTAAAAACATAAACACTTAACAACTAATGTTTGGTTTAGGTGATGGGACTAATCTCAAGTAGCAGTTTGCTATTTGTGTTAGTTCCCTCTCCACAGAGCATCTATGTTTATTGTTTATCTGTTCGTTGTATCTATTCGACATGAATGTTGGTATTTAAACAAAATATCTTATGTCAGATTTGATCCAGATCTGATGTGTCCGTGTATGCCAGGGGTCTAATGCCCATTCATTAAAAATACATCTTTTGTTAAATATATCCCTGCGAATACATCCCACCCCCTCCCCCCCCCCCCCCATTTTTTTTTTTTTTTTTAAATAAATTAATTTTAAAAAAATAATAAAAAAATAAAAATAAATAATAATAATAATAATAATAATAGTAATAATAATAATAATAATAATAATAATAATAATAATAATAATAATAATAATATCAACAATGAAAATTAAGTTAAGATAAAGGTGGGTGCTGGTAATGCGATTGCATTGTGAAAGAAAAGGTGTTGAATGGATCATAAAAGATGATCATATAGCATGTAAGTATTGGTGTGCACTGCAAGGTCCTGGAGTCATCGAAATCATAATAGATTTGGCCAGTCTTGGTAAAGTAACTTTGGTATTACAGCTCACTTTGTCTACATAGCTACATTTTTGACATTATGATATAAACTTTAAATTTGGGCAAGTCCATATCTTAGTTTCCATTTAATTTCCTAGAAAATAATTTTGATATGAGTTTAGATCCTGATTCCTAATATCCTGAGGGCAACATTGATATCATTGTCCAATCCCACAGAAACATGAAGATCTTAAAGGGATCCGGTAACTTTGTCTCAGATTCTGAAACAAAATTCTGGATTTAGCTCATGCTGCATGATAATTATAAACCTTTTATGTCAATCAGGAACCCCATGACTTTTACAAGCCGATCGCCTGTCTGATTATCAAGATATTTATGATTGAAATTACAAATTTTGAAAACCGTTTGCCAAACGGTTTTCATAACACTACAGTCTATTGGGGAAAACGAGTATGGTAAAAGCGGCCACTCGAAGATTTTTTTTACTTTTTTGAGGTACTTCTTGATCATTTTGAAGCGCAATTTTTTTAGGGCTTCAATATTACACCACATCACAACCACTGATAACACGTAGGGCTGTCTTTCTCAGGTTTAACATTGTTAAACGATCCCTTTAACATTAAAAGTCAATGTAAATAGCTTTTGAGCGGGTAATAAAAAAAAGAATGTGCTTACGTTGCCGGAAAACAAGACACAAAATGATGATGATGATGATGATGAGGATAGAAATAATTATTGACAAAATAATTATTATATCTTCAGTAGGTTTCGGTGCTATCTTCGTTGAAGCTCTTGAGGGAACACCTGGAGAGGTTGTTAAAAGTCCTCCCTCTTGATCTAACGATAAAAATAATCATGAATTCATCGCTATCATATTTTGAGAAAATTTAGGCTAATATACATTTTTTTTTTTAAACAATAATAACAATAATAATAAAAACGGTGCTTATAAAGCGCTTACCACCGAAGTCTCTGAGCGCTATTGCCAATTTTGCTCAGCTATTTGCGGATTTTCGACGACATAATTTGGAAGAGCCTCATGAACTCCTCCTCGAGGTTGGTTATTTATTTGTTTATTTGTTTGTTATTGCCGTTCTATTTTTGTTACCATGCCATTTCTCTTTATCGTTAAAAATATGAAATTATTTTTTCTATCCTTTCCCGCCTTGTCTCGTTGCCCTGCATAACCATTCATGCAACGATGTTTGCTTTGTCTGCTAATATTCTCTATTTTCTCCTTTCCATTCTTCCATTCTCATTGCTTCCTTTACACCCTTTCAGCACCAGTTTGGCCATGAGGGATTAGACCTCCCTGCATAGTCACTGACAGGTGGTTATCTCATCAAATCAGCTCTCAATTAACATAAGAAAAAGGGGACCATGGGGGACAAACCGTCACCACTAGGCATTGTTTGATAAAAGGGGGCGCAAGGGCTTTAATTCCTTCTTCCTCCCTTCTACTATTCTCATTTCTACATGCCTGTAATTTTGTTATTCACAGGGCATACCCATAACAAGCCTTGCTTTACTTTAGGCCCATTTACTATGCATAGCAATACAATGAACGATGAAATGTTTAAAACTATATATTGTGTTGCAATTGACTTGTATGCTTTACTATTTATAGTGATTATCATGATTATACTGCAAAATAATTGGACGAATTTTCTTTTTTTGTTTACTATTAAAGGAATGTTGTTAACAATTTGAAATAGAAATAATCATGTGAACAAAATAAAACTAACAGTAAAATAAAAATGAAAATACATTT